TTCCTACAAGGATTTGTTTTACATTGGCCAACTATTACACATGTTATCATCTTTCCATGCTGGAGAAGGTTCCCACGTGACTTCCTTTCATCTTTCATCACCCATCACCATGGCCTTTGGTGTGTTTGCTTGCGACGAAGATAGCTGTGCATCAAGCTGTTCATCAAGATGGAGTTGGCGGGAGAAGATCTGTCGTCATATGCACCACCGCGTGAAAGGCAGCAATTGAAGGGCAAAAAGAATGTACTTGTGTCCCGGCTAGAGGGTTTCTAGAAAGTGTGAACCCTCTCTGTCCCCCGGTGGGCCGTAATCGTAATGATTACTCACTACCTTGGGCGCCTCGGGCTCCTCGGGTGGCGGCAGAGCAACCGTTTCCTCTCGTCTTGAACATTTCTCTCTTCCTGATCAAACTCGCAGAGACACTACAGGAGGAGTCCGTTTCTTAGCACATGACGGTCTCCACCTTGGCAAAGGCTAAAAGAGCAGATGCTTTGCGTCTGAATCCCATGGGCTCGTCAGCAGAGTTGCTCCGTCCAAGAAATCACAGGAAACACCTCTTTTGCAAACTCGTTTTGCAATACAATCTCATGCTTGCTGGTGATAAGCAACCGGAATGTCTTAGGCCCCCTCTGGGGAGGGTCTGATGCAAATGCGTATGGACCTGCACGGCGCACCTATTCAGCCACGGCGTTAACGGCCTAAGAATGTGGAGGTACTGGTGGTGTAAGAAAAACAAATCATCGTCCCCAGTCCATCCAGGAAACCTCATGGCCCCGTGAACGAAACAATCCAAAAAGGCGAAAACAATTTTCCCTTTGACAAGGATGCAGAGGGAGAAGGGTCCAGGAGAGACGGGTTAACGAGGCCCAATTTTCAGAAATTCGGCATGCCATTTCTAAGAAAACTTGAAGGCCCCTGTTCTTACTCTGATGTGCCACCTATACATAGAGTGGACTCCAAGGGTGTAAAAACAATGTAGGGTGTAAAAACAATGTCGGGTGTAAAAACAATGTACTTTCAGAAACTTGTGATGCCTTTTAGCGAGGAAGAAAAATGAGGAGTGCAGGAAAGAATCAACAGGCCCAGCTCAGTTGGTACACCCATGAACTGTTGAAATACCGACCAGGTCCTGAGTTCGAATCCAGATGGACCGACTATACGTATGCAATGAAACAGTTCTTTTTTGACAAAAAAATGAGTGCAGGAAAGAGAGACGGTTAACGGAGATCTGAAGTTTTGGAAATTTGTCACGCCATTTATAAGACAAACCCAAAGGCCTTTAAACCACCAGTACTTGGCCCACCTACCGGCCGGGGAGAAAAATAGAGTAGAAACGTTTCTAGTCGGATGAATTTGGGCGCTCCTGTAGGGACCAGTACATTTCCTAAAGTCGTGGCGCGTCAAGGGGCACGACTCTAGGAAGTACTGGGTGTTTAATAACTGGAACTTGCCACCTATACATAAGGGTGGACAGCATATTCACTGACAGCAAAAAGGGGGGGGGGGAAAGGAAAAAAGAAGCAAGACAACAGAACTTGGGAGGCAAAGGTGCACTTTCACACATAATTCGCCAAAATTCACCCGACCCAAAGTTACAAAAACTTTCAGAAATTTGAAATTTGCCAAACCGGAAGTTCAAAATTTTTCAGAAACTCAAAAATTCTGAAATGTCTGTCAGCAGTGGAATTTTCAACAGTCCAAAATACACCCAAGTTTTGCCACAAAGAGGCGAAAAAACAAAAAACAAAAACACGATAAATCTGACCTCCAAACCCTAATATCAGTTTTGGACCCATTGGCCAGGAGCTGAAAGTAGGGGTGCCTGCTAAAGTGCTAAACAACTGTGGGAAGAAAAAGACCAGGAACGGAGGATGCGGATGATGAGCGTAAAAATAACACAGAATGTAAAGCAACACTGCTTACTGCAGCTCGCAGAGACTGTTCATCCCCTGAGAACATTCAGAAATTATTCGCGCGAGATGACAACACAGTTTACAGCGAAGGACGAGACAAAAGAAGGTTCATTGGAGGAGCTTGATCGTACATTCGCCATGTACCGATGCTTGTCTTTAAAACAGCGAACGACCACCACCGACGCCTGCAATCCCAGAGAGGGAGTCCATATTCATCCCACAGTGTTGTCTGTCCATCGGCAGAGGGAAGGGTAGTGTTGCTCTGTCTATTGTGCTGAGCAGGGTGTCGTCAGTGTGCAGAAAGTCATTTGATGTGGTGGCATCTGTTCATGCATATGTAGTTTTACGTTGAGGGAAATTATATGTTTGGATGCGCTCAGATCGGTCTCCGCTTCCGATTTGCACCTATTGTTGATTGCGAACGAGTGGTGCTTTGCCGCTGTCGCTCTGGTCATATAGGTGTGCCCGCAGCACGTTTGCCTTGTTCTTGTGCTGGGATCCCCGGGCTGGTGATTCTTTCTTAATGTTTTGAGTCCATGTGAGTTGCTGCCAGATCTATGGCTGCCTTCCCGTCTGGCAGCTCATTC